GGCACGGACAGCAAATACCCTGCAGGTGCATGTTGTAACACTGCCATCCGGACTTTAATGTAGATTACTCTCCAACTCGTTTGATCGGCCCTTTGAAACCCTTTACAATTGCCTGTGACGAACCGCCAGTCTCAGGTTTTTTTCCTTTGAATAATGCCTTAAGGGTAAGTCCTCGGGGCTTTGAAAGATCTCCAGTACATTTAAAAAAATAAATAAATAAAAATCTAAAGCTTGGGCAGATGTCTGTCAACTAGGAGCTGTTAACAGGCAACTATGAAACTATTGATCATCTAATACCCACCAAGTCTACTCAGGGGAAAAACTTTAATACTTAAGGGAGGAGGGTTCCTAAGGAACTCCTAGTATTTATATTGTTTTCGGGGGGGGGGGTATTAATATTTCAATAGAGATCCCTCCTCCCATCTGTAATATACCTTGTGGATAGCTGTACAGGCTGGGGTATACCGTACTTATGGACTCTCCCGTGTGTCAGGGTAGGTCTGATCTCTGTGGGTGAGTAATACATGTATGTAGGACGGACACTCACAAATACTGAAGTCCTTACACATGCCACACTCCCACTGAACGCAGGATAGATAAGCCGTGAATGGAAGTGGGGTGTGCTGGGTGGCTGTATGAATAAACGGTGCATTCGAAGTATTATACAGAATGAAACTATTAAGATAAACTAGATATGGCATAGAACACAACTGTAAACTGTCTATAAATACAAACATAGACTATGTCTATACCCGGTGCACTGGATATTGCCATTATGTACAAGTATTGTATGGTGGTGTTTGGCTTTCATGACCTCCCCCCAATAGCAAGAATGGTAAAAAAATTCAGAGACAACCGCAGCAATCTGGCAGCTATTTCCACTCCCCACCTCAGAAAAAAAGCGACTCTTTTAATATTGACTTAATACTATTAACAACTTTACAATAATTACTGAACTCTCGGCACTTAAACTTGCACAAGCGGCGCTTTGTTTCTATAAAATAAACTTGGATGTTCAATCGCTCCCTAGCAAACCGGGGATTTGAATTAAAGGCCCATTTGGGACACTTGAGACGACAAAGGGTTACACATAAATAAATGCCACATTTGCCTATTGCAAAAGTTTTCTCTGCCCTTTCTCAGTCACAACAGGGGAGGAAAAAGCCCTCGTTTATTATCTAGCGCTGGGTAGGAACAGCCCCTCCAGAATGTGCCCTTAGCTTTGGCCGGCAGAAGAGGGGCTTTTCTCTCAACAGCAGCCCCCTTTGTTCTCCAGATCTCTTTCCCAATTTCAAGCTTCACTTGCACATCCCAAGTTTGTTTGTTAATGACGCTATTACCATCTGGCTCGTCCTACTTTCCAAAAGATATAAATCTCCCCAGTTTCACTGCCCGCATTACCGTCTAAGTGCCACCATAGCCAGAAGAAAAATATGCTTTCAAGGTTGCAAATTCTCTTGCACAGAATAATGCCCTGGCCCGGCTCGTCTCTTCAGTATTTATAGGTTACACACATTGATGTGTAAGATTCTGATGGGGAAACTGAGGGCTGGGTTTGATGGAATGTCTCCAAATGGAATTCCCCTTACAGCTATATTGGGGTGGGGGGAGAAGGGGGTTAGGAATTGATTTACGTTTTCCTCCATAAACTTAAATGAACCGCTCTTTCTCACCCTCCCCTCCTCCCCTCATGCCAACCTTTAGCAAAGAGTCTGAATGCATCTTGCCCCTTTGAAACCGTTATCTTCGGCAAAGAGAGGGACACGAATCTGTGCGCTCAGGAGGCTAAATGTGCTGCCTGGTGTCAACTTGCCCAGCATGGACCCTGTCTCCTTGTTATATGTATATTTGTGCGTGTGTGTGTGCGCGCGCGCCCTTCCTTCTAACAGGCGTTGTACAGTGAGAAGGAAAGTTTAGTGCAAAGCGATTGCAGATTTGTATGCTTTTTAAGCATAAAGGGCGGGGGAGTGGGGTGGGCTGGGGTGGGTTGGTTTGTGTATAGGCTCCACAATGAATCTATTTATTCGCTGCATCCAGCCTGGGCAGAGTGAATAGGAAAGCGAGAGAAACTCAGCCTTCCAAACGCGTGGGCTTTGTGGAACACAGTCCCCACTGGCAGATTTCAACTGCTAATTTCCCATTCTGTGGGGATCTCCTGCAAAGAGACACACACATGTCCATCATCTCTGTCTTCCCCCAAGTCTTTCCCATCCGTCCCCCGGCAGTATGTAAACTCTGATACTATTAAGTTAAACCGAAGGAGAAGTTTAACCCCAGATCGTTGCCTTGCTTGATTGCTGGCAAGATTTTGCGGGGAAACCTCCTATTTAAAATTAAAAAATCTTGTCAAATCACGGAGAAGCAGCTCTTTTAATACGTGAAAGAACCCCAAGGATTTTTCGAGTGATCTAATTGTTATAAATAATTGCCGATGAAAAGCAAACTCAATTATTATGCACTTCTAATAGTGTGACTGCATTAGGGCCAAAACAGTGATTAATTAATATCACACTGGTGTAGCTGTTTTCTAGCAAAAGGCCTCCTCCCCCTCCCCCTTTGCCAAAGCGGATCTGTCCTGCTGGAGTCATGCTTAGCCAGTAAGGGATCTTGTTTATAAATTTATATGACGACCTTTTCTTTGTGACCGTTCTAAAGTTGATATGGACAAATTGCAGAGGTATACAATTTAAGTAGATGCACTTTTAATCACCGATCATTAAAATGGTTATGTTAAATATACTCAATTACATGCATGACTTCACCCTAACAGTACTTCCTATTCTCCCAGCTGCTCACGTATTCCTTAACTATCGTCCGCAGAAGAAACTCGATTATGCTGGATCCATACATTTCTATGGGTTTCATCAGCCTAATTAATGCTTCGGTGTGGTCCATGTGTCTGAATGGGTCCCTTTGCTATTACTTTGGTAAGGAGGCAGTGTTGGAATGCAGAGGGTCTTTCTTTCAGATATACCCATGGGGGTCACTCTAGGACGCTAATGGCAAAGGTAGCAAGTGTTGAATAGCAGGCACATGCAGGGGAAAAGAAACCAACGGTGAGGTGCCTGGAAAAGGGACATGGATACTGTAGGTATGACCAGCAGGTCAGTGCTGATCATTAAAACGGTTAAAGAAGAGAAGGTAAATGGAAGGCGTCCACAAACTCTAGTGCGCCTCGTGAACACCAGACAACTCAGTTCACGCTCTGATCCCGATGCAAAATGGTATATTCCATACCATGCCAGGGCAATAAATGTGCCCCTGCTAAATCTGTGTGTATTTTCTAAGACTAGTGTGATAAAGTAATACGGAGACACGTCTCAGTTAGGAGTGGATTTTCACTTCTTCTCCCGCAGAGGAAGCTATTTTAAAAAGTTGGATTGATTAGGGTTTCTAATTGCACAAAAAGTCAACGACAGCTTTTAAGACAACTCTGCAATTTAGCTTTTGCTTCCTACCTGTGCGAGCTGACTATTACATGGCTGGTGCTGTATATACATTGCTCAAGATTAGATATTCTTGAACATGAAATACATCGATAATTTTTGGTCACATGCACAGACACCTGTTGCGTCGGAGACCTCAGTGTAAGACTTCCTGATCGGATCCTCGCGAAGGGTGGGAGGAAAAACAAAGATAATTTCTTACCACTCAGTGAATTGCCAACCAATAGGCTGATGAAACAAGGACCTTTCCGCCATTCCTCCTAAATCCTCCCATATTGTACACTGCAGATCATCGTCCTAATTTTGCAGTGTGCCTCGCTGTAGTCTTCATCCTTGCAGTAAAGATTTCAGATCTATAACCAAATTATAACGTAGGAACTTTATGCTTGTCATGATAATTTAATGACTTTTATAGTAAGTGTATACTCTCTGTCTTTTGAAATGAGCTCTTCAGAACGCTTTGTGTAATGACAGACACTAGAGACATAAGAGACAAATGCACAAGCAGTGGTGGGATAATAATCCGGCAAACACACTGGGCCATTTAACAATAAAATGGAGAAGCAAGTACATTACATCTCAGGATAGATGTGTATCCAGGTCCGGTTTAATTGGTCAAACGCCCCGGATCCAGACTGACCCGGAAAAAAGAAATTATCAAAAGAATGGTCAAAACTACCCGGGAAGGGATTTTTTTAAAAAAATATATGGTATTTCATAAAACCAAATAACCAATCCCCAGAAAGCATTAGATTATTTTTGATCCAGTGCATACAATAGTAATTTAAATTGGTTGGAGCAGCTGTGTAGTTATTTCATCTAAGCATTGACTCGTTCCATTTCCAATGATATAACTATACATGCGTGTCTGAATGAATCTTGGTATATGTATATATGTCTCCGGATAGACAGATAGATGGATCCCTGTGAGCATTTGTTTTGCTTCTTTATTGTGAGTTGTCCAGAATTCTGTCCAAGAGATGATCTTGATAACAAAGCGGGGTAAACCAAAGCTATAGGTGTATTGCAATCTAGGGAACTCACTCATTGCCTATAATTGTAAATAAGGTAAGTTCACACGACGATCGAGTAACCAGAGAACAAGAGGCCTATTTTAATCAGGTGGTTATCTCTCCTTGATGGAGATCAGAGCTCCATCACTCCTGGCCTTCTCATTGTGTCCCCCCTGCTGGAAATGACAGCTCCTTCAGAAATGAGCAACTTGGTCCCTGGATGGGATTTCACCTCTTTTGCAATACACATGTACCAATTGTCATTTTACTGCTACAGCGAATCCTCTAAATGATATAAGTGTATAAACTCGGCCTCATTAAATTCCATTTTTGGACAGCTTGAGGGTTGGAGCGTGTATTACTGTAAACGAGAGGAGACTTAAATTATATCCAAATGGGGATTGAAACATAGTGGTACTTAAGCACACTCCTTGTCTCAGCAACAGTGGTCTGATTTTTTTCCCTCTAGAGTGTTATAATATTACAAACGCAAGTTTCCTCGTGTCAGATCAAACGATCTGAATCCTATTTCTCGATTCAGCCTACAGGTTCCATTGTGATGGGGACAAACATAAAATAAAGATACGATCAAATACTGTGGCCTGACCAAAGAGAAGTTTATCGTTCCTCTGAGCGAGCTTCCTAATATGAAGTTAAAACCCTTCATATCTGTACACACTAGGTGAGTTACTTTCTTGTGTACATCTATGTACATGTGAGTATATACAGAGATAAGTGTTGGTGTGTGTATAGGCAGTGAACTATGGACAACAGTTAGCCAACGGTACTGAACGTTCAATTCCTACACTTCCAACCAATAGCCAGTTAAACATCTCATTTTCAGTGGGAAAATCTTTGCCTACAAAGGCCTGCTTCTTTCATAAATTTATCTTCAAACATTTGTGCTGTTCAATGTTGCGATACAAGGAGATATGGCCGGTGAACATTGAGCGTTAACTATGAATTACATGGATCTCTTGCCGCACGCTAACTAGATCATTATTTCAGAGAGTAACCTTTCACCGATTCTGAAATATTCTCTCCTGTTGCTCTATAATCTAGCACGTCACGATTATCTGTCTGTGTCCTATTAAAATACACTGATATGCATGGTCGAATTAACATATTCTCCCTACTAATGACACTAACAACTATGTGATGACAAGGGCGCAGAAGGTTACGCGGTATATGGGAATATGTTGCATAACAGCAGCCCTATAGAAAGTCAGCCAAAGTTGGCTTTGAAAAGAGGTTTGGATTTTCATCATGTTCAAACTCCTGAAGGATTCGGAGACAGTCTGTGATTTAACCAAGTGTCACCCGCATTGTATTACTGGCCCCTGGGAGATTTGTTGTTTCTTGTCACTCATGGTTTTTCTTTTTAACTCAGTGGTCTGCTGAAGATGGGCAACAGGCGCTGCTATACATTCTTACAGGGCTTTGGGGTTGTTCTGGGTGTAATCGCTGTTTAAATCCCGATGCCCAGGACTGCACCTGAGTTTGATTTGGGGATCAAAAAGCTTGGAAGCTGCTGGAAAAGTGTTTACTGGTGAAATAACGGCAGCAAGCAAACTGGGCAGGAAGAGCTTGATAAAACATAGTGATGAATCTGTGTGCGAGAGAGTGTGGAGGGGGTGTGTGTGGAGTGGGGGAGTAATGGTAAACTGGCATTTCTGGTCATTCCAGCTCCTCGTTATTGGTTTGCACCGGTAGACAGCCTCCATCTCTCTGTTCAGATATTCTTCACCGACCCCTAGACGCTCAGACAGCACGTTCCCAAACTTTGAAATGCCAAATCACGTTATTGCTGTAGCAAGAGGCTGCTTTAGGATCTGTGACAGCTGAGTTTTCCCTATCGATTATGTGACATTGCAGTTCATTTACACAGCTCAAAAGCTCAAAGACACGAGAAGCCTCCAGTTTAACAAAAATAAATCCCGCTCTGAAAGTGAACCAACTTTATGTAGTCTTTAAACTGATAGATCAGGACTTAATTCATGGAGACAGAGAGAGCGGGAAGGCGACAGAACCAGTTCCGCTTTCACACTGTCCTTTTATAAACCTTCAGAAATTACCACATTGAAAATCTAGGGAGATTAAGGACTGAAATTTTAATTAGGAATATAGTGTGTTAGGTTGCTATAGATCTGTAAAAACGTCCAGGGCAAAGAACTCTCTCTGTCTCTCTCAGTACGTGTGTGTGTGAGAGAGAGAATTAAAGATATACACAGAGAATAACTGTCTGTGTGTATGTCCAATACAATTATAGAGCAACTCTCTATCTATATGATTATCTATATATCGCGGTAGCTACAATGTACACACAGAATATTAAATATTAGTTTATGTGTATGGTAGCCAGGTACAAGAATTAAAGTGATTCCAATTAAATTAAATCGAAGTTGCGGTACCCACATACAAACGTGGGGGAAGCCCTTATGAGGCCGTCATTTATTAAGATTGATAAATGAGTGACCGGCCTGCATATGCTGCGGGTTCTTTAACGGGGGACTGTCCATCAGAAAAGACAAGCTCCCAGTCCCTGGCTGCCCCCCTCCCTCTGTCCTCGCAGAGGTTTCATTACTTGCTGTTAGTGCCTGAAAACAATAAAGGATGTCGAACTGGGCTTTTATTGATTATTTGTCACCCTGTATTTGTCAGTTTCAATAACTTTTCCCGAAGTTTTACTTACGGGCACTTGAGCTTTCGGATTAGGCCAGCTCTGAGGATTGCACTGAGGAGTAATTATCCGCTGGCCTGCTTCCCTGTAGTCAGAGCAGGGCAGCCAGAAAGAAAAGAGCATTAATGTATAGAAGCATTAATCTGTCCTCAATCACCCTAAAGCAGTGACCATTCCAATGAACAGGGGAGAGCTCCCAAAACCTTGGACGCTGACTCGGGCTCTGGGGATGGGGTACCCCCCGCCCCGCCCCCGGAGATGATTTGGCTTTAGTTAATTTCACTTACAGTTTATTCGCATATACTTTTGTGTCTAAACCTGAAGCGTGTTATTCCGTGCTGCTGCTGTTTGTACCCCTATAGACCTAGCTAATACATCCAAAGTGTGTGTGTGTGAGAGAGAGAGAGAAAGAGAAGTGCTCAATAGGTGTGTTAAATGGATGTGTGCAAGGATGGGGATGGGTGTGAGAGTCTGGGGAAGTTCAAAACCATTTTAAAGGCCTAGAAATGGACTCCCAAGAGGATGTTTCCAATCGGATAACAAACTTCACGTCCATGTTGTTTGAACTTTCCGATTCGGTTACATCCAATATGTTGCATTAAAAGGCTGCATCGAAGTGTTAACGTGAAAGCAAAATCAGGGGATTTTTAAACTTGTGTTTACGATCAGCCATTCAAAAAAAATCCCATTTCTCTTTCCGGATTTATATTTTATATTACTGCAAGATTGCATCTACTGCTTAAGAAGGTTAAAAAAAATCACTTGGCTCTCGTGATGGAAAGAAATCCTCAGGAGGGAATCAAATAGGGAAGAGGTGTGTTGGAAAAGACCAGCAAACAAATGGGGACTGGGGAGGAATCCTCAGGTGACGCTACCAAATAACACCTGTAACTGGTGCGCAGATCCATTGTCAGAGCCTAGGAGAAAAGGAGAACTGAATCTGGAAGTTGGTTTACTTCTTGAGGGTCTTTTGCACCCCTCCGTCCACCCCCCCCTTTTTTTTCTGTACTAGCTTCTAGCACCATCCAGAGCCCAGCAAGAACGAGAATTTAGCTTCTCTAGCGGCTAAAAAGTTGATTATGGACAGAGAGGAAACTTCTTGGATGCCTGAAGTTCTCACCGGGTGATCGAGAAAGGGAGAGAGGGATGCCATACAAGATGCTCACAGAGCTATTTTAGGAAACTTAAAGTCTTTCAAGCGGCCAAACCTTTATGGAAATTGGAGCGAGACAAGACCTTATCTTTGGTCATTTCCCATCTCCAGTAACTTCCATATTGCTCCCATGCGATGCACGCTGTTGCATGCATCGTAAAGCTATACTAATTTGTAACCACACTAAAGGCAAGCGAGCATAATCGTTCCCTGGGCTGGCACGGTGCCTATCGCGTACAGTATACCGTTTGATGTCCTGTATTTCATACCACTGCAAGCTAAGAGACAAGCGAATACCGAGTGCCCTGTTACACAGGATTTAATTACAGCGGAGTGCATTCTCCATGCTGATTAGGAGACAAATCAATCGGGGGCTTATTTGCCACAATGAACCAATAAAAACAATTTATTAGAGCAATAATCTGAGCTCCACATTGTCTAAATATTATTGTTTCAATAGCACGGAGGGGATTTAGACTGAAAAATGTCACCCACCCCATCAGAATCCTCACTCGCTAATGCACCCTGAGATTTTAGCTTCTTCCCAGGGGTTATTTGCTTGTTTGGGGGGCCTTTTACAAAAATGTTGGGTTCCACAATTGCAGGTTCATGTGTCTTGGTTTCTGAATGACCTACGGTACAAAATGCTGCCCACTTGGTTTTAAAGATTTCCTTATTTCCCATGATTTATATGTGAAATTCCTGGAAGAAGGGAGGCCATAGGAAAGGTCCCCAAGCTACAGACCGAGATAAACGGCTTGTTGTAATATAGTTAGCAAAACATAATGCAAAGTACAGAAAATTCTATAGGGGCTAGGGAAAGACATACATTCCCAGGCTGGAAGGCTCCTGAGCATAAAGTCCGGGATCAGAGATTTTTGAGGGAGTTGGGTGGGAGGAATGTGGGAGATAGAAATTCCATGACCTTCCACCCTACAAATAACATGTCTCCCTTATTCTCTTGACGAATTCCTGCAGTCTGCAAAGTGTTCAGTTAAATCAATGGGAGATTCTGGGCTGCAAGGAAAGCAGGCTTCTTGGCCCAGCTCAAACTGAGAACTGTAGAGTCCCCTATAGTTTAAAGTTGGTGACTCAGGAGACTCTGGCTTTGCTTACAGCCTTCTGGAACTTCAGTCATCTCTGTACTAAACCGGAGAGGACCTCATTTCCTGTGCTAGAACTCAATGCTCTGCCAACCACAAGGTCTTTTCATAAGGCTGCCAAGGGTGCCTGGCTGTGGGAAGGACAGTCAGTGTTTATCACCAGGGAATGAGCTGGCATCATAGTCTCCTCTGAGTCACCAACCTGGCTAGCCCTGAGCATGACTTCATAAATCATGCTACCTAATTGAAAGCCACATGTTTACATGTACAGTGCTATTCATCAGGAATGTGAAAAAAAAGAAAGAAAAGATTAAAAAACAAAACCCCAACAGCCCTGTAGCTCTGTTCCTTCTTCTCACTAGTCAATTAATCAATCCATTGATTGTTACATTGTAGCAGGCACATAAAAACAAAAACTAAAATAAAACCACTCTACACATCTACAATAAAAAAATACAAAAATCAGTTAGTCAAAGATTGATCATTTCTATAACATATCCTTGGAAATGAATCTTGAGGTGGTGTTTTAATTATTAATTTAAAATTACCTGAAACTATTACAATTTAAAAAATTATGGCGTTTTTGGCATACGAACATTTTGAAGCAGCTGAATCAGGTTCTGAAGGGAAGAAAGAGGATTTGGTTAAAATAGGTTTCAGAGGAACAGCCGTGTTAGTCTGTATTCGCAAAAAGAAAAGGAGTACTTGTGGCACCTTAGAGACTAACCAATTTATTTGAGCATGAGCTTTCGTGAGCTACAGCTCACTTCATCAGATGTCCTTTAAATGTCTTGTATTCACTTTTTTTAAAATGTAGGTTACTACACATCTGCCTATTTTCCCCCCCCAGTGGAGATGAAAAATGAAACTGTGACAAAAGACATTTGAGTTTGTTATATAACTCTATCTTGCTTTTCAAACCAAATCTCCTTCCCTTTCTTTCCACTCATAGAGTCCAAAGGATATCCTGATGTTGAAGAAACCTCTTCAGCTTTACACCCAGTGCCTTATCGCCATCAGAGGTGGAAGGGGACAGTTAAATGAGTGTGTAACAGCTGTAGAGCAACAATTTGAATATTAATATTTTATTTTCTTCAAACAACAACAAAAAAAAGATACTTCAAAACCAGGTGCCAGACAAAACATTGAATTTGCAATCATTAAACCTGTTTAACAGTACTCCAGAAATGAGGAGTAGGGATTTTGATTGACAGTTTGCCACCAGAAGCCCTAAAGTAGGATTTTATTGCAGATATAACATAGTTTACCATTCTTTGCTCCCTTCAGTAAGATTCTGTGTCTGGTGTTGACATCTGAGACATATATTTACATAAAAGCTTCATGTATAATGTGATATTGCTCAGAAAATGGAGAAATGTTAATATTTTTCTTGCTCACTGTTTTATAAATAAAGAACACACTTAGTTTGCTGTTTGCTGTCTTCTCTGACCCTTCAGTATATCATATTTAAAGCATTTTCCCCCAACAACAAGACATTTTGCTTACCTGGTAAATTTTTAATTGAGAAATAGTTCGTGTGAAAGACATGTTAAATAAATAACATTAACACTGTCTGACAACTTCTCTTAGCACTCCCTAACTAATATTTCATTATAGATGAAATGGATCACGTTTTCTACTTAAGAAACTAAAACAATACATTGTTTAATAGCCAATGATGTTTTAATCAAACAATTGGTTTTCAAAGGGAATAGCAGCCAAAGAGAGACTAGATTCCTCTTTTGATCTTTTTCTCAATTTGTTCTGATATCAATAAGAAATATTGGTAGGTTGAAGACAGATATAAAATGGAAAACAAAAGTTATACTTCCACACTAAACCCTTGGGGTATCATTTATGGCATACTGGCTTTGGAAATGCTGCTCATTTGATATGTTGAACATTACTTTTATGCACATTAAAACTTTATTTAGCTTAACTGCCTTCTTGATGAGTTTGACTGTAATAATTAAAGCTAGAGTTGTCCAAGTAAGAAGCAAACAATTAAAACATTTATGTATTTGATTCTTGATAGGCATCTCTACAAGGTAGGTTTTAACATTTTTTTTTTCTTCTTAATTTTTTTTCAGTAAGAAGGATAAGCTTGGAGCGCCCAGTCACCGTGGTAACTGCCAGAAAAATTCTCCTGAAGTTTGAAGAGGTCAGCTAACAGGGTCAACAACTCTGGCCTCTTTCTGAGCTGGGCCTGGCAGGCCCCATCCTGCAGTTGGAGTGGTAGGCCAGGCCTAGCCCTGGGAGGTGGGCCATTCCAGCTCTGATATAAATTTTTTGAGTCAGTTCACGGCCTGGACTCTCCAGGTGGTCTCCAAAATCGATTGTGACCTTCTGACCCTGTCTAACGGAGGCATAGCATCCAACCTAAGTAAGGATTTAGCCAGGAATGACAGCTTTCCACTGAGTGTTATTGGGGACAGTACAAACACTTTTGGAAGCAAGGAGGTAGGTAAGAGGAGTAGAGGTCATTAAAAGCATATTAAAAAACAATTTTTAAAAAAGCTTGTTGGTAAAAAGTTTGTATTAGCATTAAGTACCTCTGTTATAAACCTTTTCAGCAAAGGCCTTTCCCCTCTCCCCAATGCTATTTTATATTAAATATTCTGAATGTTAACATGTGAAAAATAGGCCCTTTGTATATTCCAAAGCAAACCTAGTATTTCCTCTGCATCTGGATTTCAAATATGTAAATAAGGCTGGCTGATTTGTAGCCAAATAGGCACTGTTTATAAAGACTGGATATTTTCTTAACACCACAGAAACAGCAGGTTGTTTATTTAAGGAAGTAACTTCTTTAATATGGGCGGCCTTTTTAGATTCAAAATAATCTTAATAGATGCAATTTTTTATTTAAAGAAGGAAATTAAATAACATGCAAAAATAGCCTGTAATAAAGGCCTGCTGGTTTCACAGGCTATGTCCTTTGCTGTTTTGTAAAACAAATAGCCAAGCCACAAATCTGGTTACATATGAATTCTAACAATGCTGAGATCATACCTATACACAAGAAGAAATATTCTTGAAGACTGGAAGAAATGCAGAATTTTCTTGGGGCTATTACTGTGCAGAGGTAACAAAGTATATAATCCTGAGCGGCTCAGCAAGTAGCTTTTTGCTTTGGGTTCCTACTGAGACTGTCCTATTTTATTACTATTTTAAGGAACCCATTCTGCACCCCTTACTCACTTGAGTAATCCTTATTCATTTGCATAAGTGGGACTATGTGGAATAGGAAAAGTACAGTTACCAAGTCGAACAATGTTCTTAAAATTTCATACGTGACCTTAACACTGCTGTGAGGAAAGTAAATTGTGTAACTATTTTGTCCCATTCTTAGGAAAAATTAAATAAACTCACCCCAGCAGGAATATTTTTCCAAATCATTCTTGCTATGCCTAGTAACTAAGAGCAAGTTTCCAATATTCTTGCTCACGTTCGGTTAGTACCTTACCCCTCAAGTGGCCCCATTGAAGCCACTGGAGATGCCAAAAGAGTGAGATATTAAATGCAAGTAAGAGTTGCAGAGTCTGGCCCAAAGGCTCAGTTCTGAGACTGGTTCTCTCAACAAATAGTGCTTTACTCTGCAAATGCTCCCTTTGGTTACTATGGCTCAGATTCCGTTGCCTTTACTCACATTAAATAGTACCTTACTCTGCAAATAGTTCCATTGAAATCAGTGTAGGGTGACCAGATAGCAACTGTGAAAAAACAGGATGGGGGTGGGGCGTAATAGGTGCCTGTATAAGAAAAAGTCCCAAAAAACCAGACTGTCCCTATAAAAACGGGACATCTGGTCACCCTAAATCAGTGGAACATTTGTGGAATAAGATATTAATCAATCTGCATAAGGGTGGCAGAATCTGGCCCAGTTGGGCTTGGTGTGGAGTAAGATACTACTTAGGGTGAGTAAAGGAGGCAGAGCTGGGCCCCAAATAAGCTAGGGCCTGATCCTGCGCCTGTTGAAGTCTGCCGTAAATGCTCTCATGGTGAATGCTAACCACACATTTTTTTAAAACAGGGCTACAGCAAAAACAACTTAATGACATGAGAAGGCCCACTGACTTCAGAGGGACTCCTTGTGGGAACAAGACTGGCAGAATCTGGCTCATACTCTGCAATGAGGACTAGTGCCTTTGCTTGGTTTACAGAAAACATATTTAAAAATGAGAGTTATGAGCAGTCAAATGATTTTTAGCAGAGCTTACTATATCCTCATCTCCTTTGTGGCATGATTCTACATTTTCCCCGTCCCGCCTAACAAGCACATCGGTCTGCATGATGGAGAATGTAAGTATTTCCCTGGGACACAGATCAAAATTCTCCCATCCCCTGCCCCAGCCTTACCATCAAGAACAGGCAAAAATAATTGGCACAGGAAATAAATGAGTGAATACCAAGATCTTTGGTTCTCTGCAATTTTACTTGCATTTTAGAATAACCTGAAAAATTGGATATTTCCTTAAAACAAAATCGAGCTGGGGCCTGATTATCGTCTGTCTGTTCACGTCATGCAGTCATGTGCACCTGAGCAAAGTGGATATAAAATGCACAGATACAAATGAAAACACAGGAAGTGGAGAAAATAGCCCTTTATCTTTTTCCATAGTGAAGATTCAGCCATCATGCATACAAATAATAGATAGTCTCCAACCAAATATTAGCAGCAGCAAAGGTGAGAATTTCTAACCTCCTTCATGCCATTTACTTCAGTGCGATGTGAACTTCAAAACACAATGGATCCATTGCAATAGTTTATTAAGTATAGGCTATTCCTTTACACTTTATTTAATTAAAAAAGCAAGGGAATTATATACACAAACAGGCTTAATGAAAAGTTAAGGATGAACAGTCAAAAACACCAAGAGAGACAAGGAGGGGGAGGTAATATCTTTTATTGGACCAACTTCCGTCGGTGAAAGAGACAAGGTTTTGACCTGCAGAAGAGGTCTATGTAGTTCAAAAGCTTGTCTCTTTCACCAAGAGAAGTGGGTCTAGGAAAATATATTCCTTCACCCACCTTGTGTGTCTACTATCCAGGGACCAACACAGCTATAGAAACACTGCAAAATCACCAGGGGCAGGATTGTGGCATTTAACCATAGCATTTAGTATGGGCTGGTAAAGAGCTGCACTGCCCTGGGGGAACCACTAGAGGCAGCATGTCTCCCAGAGATGGCTGCGCTCAGGGAAGCATCATGGAAGGGGTGCCACAGTGTCTTCTCCGCACTCCCCCTATATCTTTGGCGCATGGCTGGCCAGCTTTGCTGACTGGCATGTAGGGGGTAGGCAGAGCCACGGTGCCCCACCTACTCCCTGCCCTTCCCCACCTCATTTTGGGTTGGCTCTAGCATGGGTTATATCAGGTAGTGGCAGCCTCCACACAGGAGCTACAGTTCAGGCTGGCCCTTCTGCAGGTGCCCCGAATAGTGGGAGGTTCGGTACTCCTCCCTACCCACTGTGCTACATTTAAGAGCCTGCTACCATCTAGCCCAGAGTCAGGAAACACAGAAGTTAAGGTTCCAACAAGCAACATTAACTTGGCTATGTCTCACATTGGAAGTATTTTCTATTTCTGGTTGTGGTTAGATGTGCAATTTAATGTTCTGTTTATGTTGTCAAAGGTATACCATGGAGTAGCCACTGTGTACAACCTAACCCACTGACACGGCCCTTGAAACTTTAACTTCTGTTTTTCTTGATGGTTTGTGATTTAGCTGTGTATCCTGATGGTGCATAACCTAGTTTATTGCATATAAGATTATAAAGGATGTGTTACCCTCTGCAACTAGTTGGAGAGTTTCAGTCAGAGAGGTTTCAGAGTAGCAGCTGTGTTAGTCTGTATCCGCAAAAAGAAAAGGAGGACTTGTGGCACCTTAGAGACTAACAAATTTATTTGACCATAAGCATCCGATGAAGTGAATCAGAGAGGGCATGTCATATAATCTTAGCCCTCATTTGAATTATAGCCATTATACACACACTTTCTAATGCAAAGCTTCGTGTGCTGTTTCACCATTATGTTAAATCCGGATCAGGAAACAAACTTTACAATCCCCATTATAATGTAACACAAGTAAATTATGCCTTGGGCATATACAATGGAAGTATAGATTATTTTAGATATATAAAAGTTCTACTTAAGTTGAGGTTAGTGGTTTAATTACAGGATTTTTTTTTTTTAAAATTGCTGTTAATAAAGACGGCCAGTGTTCCCCCCCCCCCTTTGATTTACCTCCAGATCAACCATACTGAGTACCCCTTTTCTGGCATTCACAGCAACATGGGTGGGTTGGCAGGATCTTATAGGCATTTCCGTCTTCCCAGCACTGATATTTTTTCCTGGATTGTAGCACCAACTCCACAGTGTGCCATTGTTTGGAATCTTTCAGTGACTCTTCTTCTCCCAACCTGAAACCTGCCCCAGACCCATATTTCTTCATTACAGTTTTTCAAAACAATTATAGAAACACTGATTGCAGTAAGAGGCAGTGTGAGCCAGTGATTAGATCAGATGGTGGAGAGTCAAGAGAAATGGGTGGTGTTCCACATTCTGCCTCTGATTTCCTGTTTCACCTTGGGTTTGGCCTTGGGCAAGTTACTTAACTGCTCCGTGACTCAGTTTCCCTATCTGTAAAATGGGAATAATAATGCTCACCTGTATAAAGTGCTTTGAGATCATTGAATAAAAGGTGCTGTGTAAGAGGAAACTCATTCTATCATTATCTTGTTAGAACTAAATCAACCTAAGTGTCCCCTCTACTTTATTTTAGTTCTTGAGACACATTGTTAGTCTTTTAGGGTTAGGACACCACTTCTTCCATACAGATATTGTCATCTGGCTTTTTGTTTCCCTTGTATTCACATCATATAAGGCAGTGCAGATATTCTCCCTTCCCCCTTCACACCAGCTTTGTTTAAACAAAACTACAAAGCGATTGATGATGCATGTTCTCAAGGGCCCAATAACCTTTGTATATACCAAGCAGCGTGCCACTTTTATAATGGTAGCTAGCAAGCTAATACACCTCCAAATTGTATTATTTATGTTCCTAGTAATCTAATGGTTGGTTAGCAATTTCTCTTGCTGTTTAGTTGCTCTTGCACAGTCTTGTAGTTTCTAGTTATGTAACAAATCTCATTTTGTGACTATGTGAATTTAACAGTTGTCATTGTCAACAGAGGTTGTGTGTGTGGGGTTTTTTTGGCAAGCTGGCATTACTCATCAGTCTCATGGCAGTTTTGTTTGAAAAATGCCTGTGTTAGAAAAAGTGGATTTATCAGCTCAGCACTGTATGGTGCTAGCATGCAGCACAACAAAAGACAAGTACTCATTTCAGTAGTGCTTGCAGCATTTCATGGGGCCCCCAAATAGGCTGAACAAGGCTTCTCTGGCAACGAAAACCAAATACAGTGGGAAACTGTTAAAGTGGTAGTGTTGCTTCCTGGCAAATTTGATTCTAGTTCCTTTCTTAATTTGCTGCTGCTTTACGTTTTGAAAAAGATTGTTTTATTAAGAAATTCACTGCCTAGAAAAAAAAGAGACGCAACTGAAAACGTGACTTTTCTTTTCATCTCTTGATGCCCAAATTAAACGATGAAACTGTCCTTTGGAGAGTGGTTCTGTCATACAAGAAATAATACAATACTCGCTCTTCTTTTAAATAGTATTGTTTCAAGTGAATTATAGTGCAGTATTTCAAGGAGATCCTATTTCTTTGTAGATTTTAAACTGTTCATTATCAAAAATGATCTGTTGTGGCTGCATTTTCTTTTGCAGCTGGCAGTTTAGATTATGAAGACAGTGGATAAGAATCCTAGTAAACTCTGATCTCATAACTGAAAGTGTCACCGGTGGGTCAAACTAAAGAAACATTCTCTTATCTTACAAATAACTTGGATTATTAAAATGTAGTATTACTTTTAAAAATATTTATTGCAAATATTTTAAAAATATTTACTTTTAAATATTTAAATAAATATAGTATTACTTTTAAAAATATTTATTATTGTAAATATTTTAAAAATATTTACTTTTTGCATTGCTCTCTATTTGGGCACTGGAAATAGTCTAGTGAATTTCAGTTTTTTATCATGATATTTTAGTCAATTTCTTTTTCAGGTTCTCATGCACAAGCACAGTGCTACAGGATCTGCGTTACAAACACTAAAGTGGAATGTTTGCTTCAGAAAACAGTTTCCATTGGATTTAAAAGAGAAATAACTGCACTTAATCTTACATTTTGCAAAAGCTTCAGTTTTACAAAATGCAAGTTCTGGACTAGCTTTGATCTTCCATTGTCCCTTATATATAGAAGCACAATCAATTTACTACTCTATCTATACTTCAGGTACTCAGGTAGAAGTCAGAGTGGCAAAAACAGGAATCGTTTTAGGGGCTTAGGAATCGTGATAAAAATATTCATTTTTGAAAAAATGGCACCTAATTTACCCCCATCAAAATATGAACATTTCACCTTAACTCTGATCCAGATATGTGCACACACATGCTCACCAACGCACACACTGTTTTGAATGCACAATAGATAAATGCATACACAGATGTCGTTCTACAAATAATTACTTATTCTGTGTACATAAGCATGCTTGGATGTGTAATTGTCTGTGTGCGTTCCTACACACTGGGGCAAGTTATGGCTGCCCCTGTGTGGGTGTGCTGGGAGCACAGAGGTGCAGTCGGGAGATCCCCATCTTATCCTCCGGCATGCTCATGAAAGAAGCAGCCATCATGTAACTTTCCACTTCCTGAGTTCATAGGGTTTGCTGTTGAGCAGCACTCACAGCAGGTGACACCTCAAACAGCAGGTTGAGGGTTGGGCCATGCATACATATTAGCACAGCGAGGGTAACACAGAGGGAGAGCTGCAGTATATCCTTTCCATCGGTTTGGGATGGTGTCCCCCCAACATACAATACTTTCGCTTCCTGATTTCCCTGCAGCAGGACACTGGCACAAATGAGGTACCCATTTTAAAAACGTTGGTTAACAAGGTTTCTGTGCGGTAAAGAGCTGGCTAGTGCAGTCTCAAAGGAACTCAGGGTCAGGAATACATACAGCACTGTACAGAGATGACCTGTGCCTGCTGATGGTGTGGGGGCCAGCGTGAGGGCAACTACCTTCAGCAGTGTTACTGAGCATGCCCAGTCTGTGTGCGCCTGCTCAGTACAAGCCAAGCAGCAAATCTGTGGGGGGGATGTGACCCTACATCCCCCCCCTCCACACACACACCTGTTGCCTCAGAGTCAGGTGTTTGCATTTCTACAAGGAACACAGGAAGCAGGATTCTTGAAGACAATATCCTAAGTGGCTTATGAGCCGATAGGAGACCCTTGATCATCAGTCATATTGGGGATACCGTATTAGCGTGACAAAGTTGCATTTTGCGGACGTACACACTATTGTTTCCCTGTAACGATATATTGCAACAACGATGTTTACATCCTTCTCTGGCTAAAAGTGGGATTTGGCAGAACCCTCTAATGATGATTTAGCATATGAGCGCAGACCTAGGAATCAGATCTCCTGAGTTCTAATCCTATACTTGACCCACTCTTTGCCCTTGCTGCACTGACCTTCACTGCCTCCTTCTGTAAAACAGGGATAATAATGCTCACCTACTACACCAGGTTGTTATGATGATTAGTTAATAATTGGAAATCACTTTACAATAATACTTTTAATTCTAAGGCATCCCTGCCCCATGTCAAAGCTCTCAGAGCAAGGCACAGCAGACTAATATAATATCAGAGAGAAGTCAAAAGACCACTCTGTAAGAATATAAAAACAGGAAGGGCTGAAATGGGGGTAAAGACAGGGTAAAGGGGTGGGAATGGCTATTAATATAAATGTGATTGGAAGATAATGAAATGGAGATGGCAACAGCATGGCAAAGTTGTGATCCTTGCCTGACTTAAATAATGGTGGGAAGTAAAAGCAATTGCGTCTGAGCACAGATTTCCTTAAGCCTTGGCCTGGTGGGTGAGGTCTTGAACATAGCCAGGGCCTGATCCATTAAGGGCTTTAAAAAGCAAACCACCCCCACCCCTTTGACAGGCAGCCTCAGTGAGCATAAGATGATCATGGTTGCTTTAGCCGGGCTGTAGCTGAACAAGTTACACTGAAGAAGCCCTACTAGGAGGGAATTACAACAATTGAGCTTCGGGACCTGAAGGACGTGTTGCTTTTGAAGGAGCATATTTGAAAAGGCACAGCACCATGTAAGTGCTAGTTGTTCTTATTACATCCGTGCTCTACCCCTACACATCTAGAAAGATTTGGGTTTAGGAATAATTTTACTTTTTTTTTTAGTCTGGCTATATGGTTGAGTTAGACTGGGACAGATCCATTTAGCTTAACTGGAGCTTTGCAGGGGTTCTTTGGGATGGAGGAGACTGTCATATGTCTCTTCAAAGCTCTGCTGGTCAAACCATTCATAGAATCATAGAATATCTCAGGATTGGAAGGGACCTCAGGAGGTCATCTAGTCCAACCCCTTGCTCAAAGCAGGACCAGTCCCCAATTTTTGGCCCCAATCCCTAAATGGCCCCCTCAAGGATTGAGCTCACATCCCTGGGTTTAGCAGGCCAATGCTCAAACCACTGAGCTATCCCTCCCCTCATTCAGTAATATTGTTGGCAGCAAAGCAAGTTGTTTGCTTGCCTTTCCATTCAATTGTGAGCTATGTAAGTGGGGTGCTTAACCAGCTAGAACATGTGGCTTTTGGGGGCACAGCCACTTTCTTCTCCAGTTTTGGCAAGCCTCACAAATGTGAACTTACCGACTCTAAATATGGCTATTTCCCCCAGCTCTACTCTTACCGTACTCTTGTGGCCACCTGCACGACGCTTCCGAGAATCATTTTAGCCTCACCTCATTATTACACCTGCAGCGATCAACTCACTTGCGGGGTCCCAGAGCCCAGGTGCCAGCCCAGGCCTGGACATCTACAGTGCAATGTTATAGCTCTTCAGCCCAAACCCTGCAAGCCCAAGTCCACTCTCGTGGGCCAGCTGCAGGAATGTTACTGCAGTGTAGACATACCCTTAAGGGCCCAGTCCAGCAAACACTTACTGCTGGGCATGGTGCCCACTACCACGGCACAGGACTGAGGAATGGTAGTTTGTGCCTCCCCTCATCAGGAGCTAGAGAGGCCAGTTTGGCCCTCAGCACATGTTAAGGCAGCCCTAAGTCACACCTTCGCTATGATGACCATTACGGGCCACTGTAGGGGGTATAGAGTTTCTGAAGTACAGGTCCACCCTGGCCATGCCATCCATCCACCTCCATACTGCCCAGGGTTCCTATAGATGCAATGCAGAACTGGGGGTGACAGCTCTGCACCAGGCATAGGCTTCCTATACTGGGTGTGTGTGGGGGGGTGTTAGTAAGTTATGCCTGCTCTTTGGTCCTTTTGTGCCAGGCTAGCGCAAAGGGGCTGCAACACCAATACTGACTCAGCTCCTATGCCTGGCAGTAAATGTTTTCAGGATCAGGCCCTTAAATCCTACTCCACTGTAGAATCCCTTAGATGTGTGCAGATTACCTTACACCCAGGCCGCAGCAATCCAGCTCTCCACCAGCTTGCTCCTGCGGCAGAGTGGCGAATCATTTCAATTTCCACTCTGCCGTGTGTCCCCGCTCACTCTCACTCGTTCCTCATGAGTTATGATAACATATAAGCAGCTTACAGAATTCTTATCAGAATCAGTAGAACACAATGCAACACTTAACTCTTAATGACAGCCACCTCTGACTGTGAATGACATGTCATAAATTATGTTTGAACTAGATTTTTCAGTGGCAGATATTCACCGTGCCACCCAGTCAGCCCTATAAAGTTGCACTTGTGGCCTTAATCCCACTTGGATGAGTGCCCTGCTTTCTCCACTTTCCATCACTCGGGTACTTCAGTATTTTTGAACAAGTGAACAATCTTTGTTTCTGTACCTTATTAGGCCAAAGACCATAGCAGCGAGCGATGGCATCAGCAGGCCCTGCAGGCAGGATTCTCTGCAGACCCAGCCAACCTCCAACAAACCCCTTTTTATCCTCCTGTTTCTAGGAAGAATTATGATGGCGGAGCCCTGCTGTTGATCAGTCAAATCTGTGGTAGGCCTAGAGATAAGTCCTGTAAGCGTGGTGTACTGTAAAACAGCGGCTCCCATTCATTAGTAGCTTGTGTGTAATAAACCACCAAAAAGGGGGGGAGGGGGAGAGCAGCTGCAGTGTGCAGGAGCAAACAACACAATTCATTCTTAGGAGCCAAAACTTTCCAATTTGCTGCTGGGCAGCCAGGCACATTGAAATTCTTTCTGATAATACACTACTGCCCTCAGTGTCTGCTTCTTGATTTTTCCCTAGTTTTGCTTTCTGGAGGTTCTGAGGTCTGGGACAGTTTCACTTTGAACCAAAAATGTAGACACTAGCTGAATAGGGAAAGAAAAGCAGCCACTCAGCGACTGTAGACTCCAGCATAAGAATGTGGTGGGTTTTGAAAGAAGTTGGCCTGCTGTGGAATGGCCGTTACACATATCTAAAGGAGCAGCGGGTAAACAAAGTGTCACATGGACTGCAAGGAGACAGAGAAATGTAATGGAGCTATACTTTACTTAAACATGAGGGGTAAGAGAATAGCATATTTGTGAGCGTTCAAAAGGATGTTTATGGATGTACAGCTGGCTAGAAGATTTAAAAAGTGTTTTATTAGTAAAAAAAAAAAAAAACCTGCCCAAAACAGAAAAAATTATGGCAAAGTTATTTGGATTTTTTCTTCTATTTTTAATCTCTAATAAATATCTAATTTCATCATTATCTTCCCTTTTAAAAATGTATATACGCACACGTTTAAGATGGGTCTAATAAGTGGAATTTATAGCACTGCATATATTAGGAGCTGGCCAATTAGTGGAGAAAATATACTCATGACTATTTTGGCGTATTAGTCGCTGTATTTGGATTTGCCATGTTCACCCCCTTGATGTGTTTGCTTTTGATCACGGAAAATGAATTTCAGGCCTGGAACAAAAATGATTGTTACTTATTTGTATTGTGGAGCCCCAGTCATGGATCCAGACCCTGTTATGCCAAGTGCTGTTGTGTTCTGACTAAATGAAATTCATTTTGGACAAAAACGTGTCCCAATCAACTAGCCACCAAAGGACTGCTGGATCTCTCTAGGAAACCACCAAGATCTGCCTCTAGTGGAAGTGCCAGGTTGTGACAATGGTGCCCATGGTAGGACTGGCACCTGCATAGATCCTAAAAAGTATCTTTTTAGCACTGAGGCCCATTTCTTTCTTCTCTGCTATCAGCACCAATGACCGGTAAAGGAATAGAATTACATTAATTTTGTGCTTACTGAGCACAGAGGAAGAGAATTGCTGAAATATTCCCAGGACTTCTGGCTAGAGTCCTGTCAAGGGGGGCATTTCTGGGCATCTGACTGCTCTCTTCCCAACTAGAACCGCAAACGTATGCATACATGCTGTAATGACTGTGTCTATATCAATGCAAATGTGCTGTCTGCGTAACCGAGGTGAATGATAACGGATGACAGAAAACTGGACATTCCAAAAGCGTTCATATATTTCACATGAAATAATGTTGTAACATTGGACACTAATTAACACAAACAAATCACTCCACTGACGGACTTAGTCCACTGGCCAGAGCCCTGACCCGAGGCTGCAAGCACACATCCATACCACAATTACTAATTTGTTAGTGACAATGATGGTGACAAATGGTTCTTGGTTACCAAATATCTGAGCCCAGTAAATTGACTGAATACTCTAGATAGATATGACACCATGGGAGGGACCATGTTCCCTCAAACCTAGATGAGAGTCCAGGCGCACACACTGTTAAATAAGTCAGACAAAGTTATGTGGCCACTCGCCTTGCAGTTGGAACTACAAAATAACCCCCTGACCACAGTACTGGAACAGGGGGCAATTAAATAAGATAGCAAAGGCTCCCCCAATGCTGGAAAGTAAAGGAAGTAAATAATAATAATTTGCTTAAACAATAAACACTCAAATCTTAAGAGACATTCAACATCTAAAATTCTCGTGGAAACTATTTACTGTGTTAGTAGTTTTAAAGCACTGTGTTAGCAGGGCAGTGTTTCAACTAATAGTTGATTACAGTAAACTTTAAGGACCTGATTCTCCTCTTACACTTATTTTACCCCAGTAAAGCTGCTGACTTCATTGGGATACTCCTGATTTATACCAGTGAAAGTGAGAGGAGAATCAGGGTCTGAAGATATTTTTAACCCTTGGCTGGCATTCCATCTCAGATTGAATCATTAACAATGACTCTTAACGGATGATCTAATTGAGTGTTTCGTGCCAACAAAATAAATCTCTTCTGTAATCTTTTTTAAAGTAAAGAAATTCAGATGTGAGACATGAAAGGCAAAATAATGTGGACGCTGATAATCAGAATTTTTAAAATGGGCAGAAAGATTATCAGAGGGTTATATTTTCTTTTTGTCAATCAATTACAAACTATCCGATGGAAAACGTTATGAATAGTAAATCACATTCTCTTTTGTCCTCTCTTAAATGTAGGAAGTAATTTGACAACAGAAGCAACGCAATACATGTGTGTGGACTATAGCTGGTGTCTGCACTTTCAGATTAAAGTTTTAATAGTGGATGGTTTAATGTTAACACAAACTCTACATGTATAATGGGGATGTATTTATTTTTTTTAGCATGGCCTGTTGCTTATTTCATGAATCCCTCTTTCACCGCCTGAGCAAGTGTGAGGCATTGTGCTGTCAGCACTGTCCTTATTCCCTGAAGCCCCCCACTGTCTGTCACTATAGGGATGGAATATTGTAAATTCCAGGAGCTATTTTCTCACTGCCAACCTGGGGCCAAGCTGACCTTAGTGGGAGCTGGGGTGACATTCAGGATCGGGCTCTTTGTATCAGGAGGGGTCAGATGCATTAGAGTGGAAGGCATTCCAATGGTTCTGAAATTCCTGCAGGTGCTTAAAATGCAAAGGGTCCTTTCACAGCTTCACATCTGCCTCTGTCATGTGCATTTGAGCATGTGACCATAGGGTTTGTTTGTTTGGCTGACTGACATGTAGTGACCAGAACTGCTGATAGAAGGTCTCCAACAAAATAGTTTTGCTGGTCAGAGTTCACTGGAATATAACCAATCTGTACTGCTTGTGACATTTCTCTGGCCTCTGGAAAATAGTGCGTAATGATAATAAGGTTGCTTATAAATGTGTATTTAATTTGCTTTCAAACTTGACAAGCTCTTTGTAGAAGAAAACATTGACGGTGTGCAAATGACACATTTGACTCACCAGATAGTCACAACTGCCCAAAACTGGGACTCCAGTCTTCCAGCTCTTATTCCATGGGACAATTGGGCTACGTAAGGATTACTCACATGAGTGAGGGTGAGCAGGATCGCACCCTGTGTTTGTAATCCTGATAATGTCTTTTAAATATCAGAAAGAAAATTGTCAGAACTTCCACCAATCTGAATATTAGGGCATAATGGAAAAAAAAGAAAGACAAAAGAGCCCCACACTTGTTACCTAGTGGTGATCAAACTAATAATTGAAAATAATGAAGAATGGTACAAAAAGATCTTTCATTCCCATTTGCCTCATTTTGCCTTCTGTGCAAATTACAAGACTATTATATTCAGAAAAGTGCAACTTTTCCGAATTTCTACAGTCATACATTCCAATCCTATTCTAAGCGAATCAACAACTTTATAAACTGCGTTTGACACGGCTGCTACTCTGAAACTTGACTTTTTAAAGCGTCTGTACTTTTTCTGATCTCGTTTTATTTGTAAATCTGTATCTTCTCTGTTTTCATGTTGTAAAGGACTAAAGAAAGATACTCTCAGAATAACTGTGGCATTTGTCCTTGCTGAGGTGTTCTCAAAAATGGATCAAATAATATTAAAAAGATTTTCTTTTATTAGTCTTTTTGTGTTTTAATGAAATTGATAGATTTGTATATGGAGCCTGCTCCTGTATTCCTGTCAATGGCAGTTTTCCCTGATTAAGAAGAGCAGGATCAGGACTTTTGACCTAATCAGTTCCTCATGTTTCGTTTTTCTGTACACCCACTGTTAGCCCAATGCTCTTCCCACCACATAGCCTTGTCTTTGAGCTGCTGTTCCCCCCGCCCCCCTCCCCGCAGTTAGGTGCCCTGCTATACATGTACTCTTACCCTTAGATAGACCGTACATTCCAAAACATTTTAGTGATTCATGCCTGGCTCAAATACAAGGGAGAGAAAAACTGTTTATTTCAGACGATGCATATAAACGATACCCCAGCAACAGTTTATTTGAAGAGAAAACTAAAGTTCTTATGCCAGCATTTCCAAATTGGCCTTCAAAATGATGTGCAAAATTTGGACAATGAAGACATTGCAAGTATACTTTTGAAGCTCAAGTCCTCATACGTGCAAAACAATAATGGGTGTGCCTGTGCAAACGGGGTCATTAGCCACCTAATTTTGGACACACAGCTTCACTTTGAGCTTTTTGCATACACAAAAACTTGGTGCACAAAATTGCTGGGATAATTTTAGCATCCAGGTTGAGGCCATTTTGTAAGTTGTGTCTCTTCCTTTTGCTTACATGTCTGGTGCAGAACACTAAGGGACAGATGCTAGGCTGGTGTATATTGTCATTGTCATATTCATTGTCACTGAAGTAAAAACGTTTAATTTTGATCAAAACACAATATAATATACAATACAAAATATATCTCAATATTACATTTAATTGCTATCCTTTATTGTGTAGCATAATGTACAATTAAAAAATGAAATTAAACAAACCAAAGTTGAAATGAAATGATTTTACCTTACCAAAATGAACCATTTTGACATTTTCAAAACGAGAAAGTCTAAATGATTTGTTTTGACACTTTGGCTTGGAAAATTTTGTCAAAATTTACACATTCCTGCTAAGTGTTTCGATTTCAATTAAATTACATTTTCAAATGGAAACCTGTTCTGCCAACAAAATTTCAACCGGCTCTAATTAGAACTATGATTAAAAACCATGTTTCAGCCCCAGTTCAAGGAGTTCTCGTCTGGAATATTTTTCAAGGGACACAGAGAAGTTTGTTGGAGTTGTGGGATTTTTTACCTATTGCTACGAGTGACACTTAGGCTCACTGAAAGTGAGAGATTAGAGAAAAACTCTCTTTCTGTTTTTACGTTGCTTAACTTGTGCACTCACTTGACTTACTTTTTCCAGTTTGTGGGGATTTAACCACATAGCAACACGGGAAGAGAAAACAATTCTCTCTCTCTCTCTCTCTCTCTCTCTCTCTTTCACTCTCTCACACACACAGAAAAACCCGATTCTATAACAATAAAAATTGGCAGGAGAAACTCAGGGAAGTAGTTTTCAGCTCCTTTTGTGAAACTGACTAGATTTCAGTGTCTCTTTAAAATAATTATAAGACCATCTACAGCTGCCAGCAAAACTGTGTTATAAACTGGTTTGGGAGAAACTGTTTTAAACACAGCTGTGAGACCAGTATAGGTAGGTCCTCAGTGTTTGTTGCAAAGAGAAGTCAAGTTCCATTTTTAGATCTTATCACTGACAGTCAGATTCCTAGGAGAAATATAGCCTTAAAAATGTTACCTACTTTCCTGACTTTTCTAAACAATTCAGATTAGTAACTATTGGAAGCTTTGGCCAGGGAGGATCTTTTTATTCTGGGTTTGAACAGCATCTAGCACAATGGGACACTGATCCGTGATTTGGGCTTCTAGGTGCTACTGCATACAAATAAATAGTAATAATTTTAAGCCCTCAGCGGAGACCCCAGCCCTGCTTCATAATCCACTAACACAGAGTCCCTGCATCAGTGGCGAGGCCTATTGACTGACATGAGACTCTGAATGGGCACAGGAACATGTCCTAGCTGGTACCAGTGTGTTATGGGGGCCAAAGGCACCTATCCTATGCACTGGCTTAAGTTGCACTCTGTGAGTAGTTCCATTCACTTCTACATTACTACAGTGAAAAAAGTTAAGCAGGCATATTAATCTTTGCAAATCGGGGCCTGAGTTTGCAACCTGCTTTGTAGGCTTGCTGTCTATTTGTTCGGCAGTAACCTGACCTGGAGAAGGTAAGGCTAAGGCACCTGTAAGTTCCCCATCACTTATACTGGATCCTGATTACCATCAAGCTGCATGATTAAGTACCAGAAGCATCAACAATTGAAGGTTTGTTTGATTGTTTGTTTGTTGAATCTCCCCTGGGGCCCGCAAGCTGAAGTTATCACTGAATGCCTGTTCCCATACTTGTCCCTCTCTCCTACACACTCCCCTCAACAAGGCTGTACACAGCCTGCTCCATCCAACACACTTTAGAGCCCCACCCGATGAAAGGTCTGACTGACCAGTAGTACAGCTTTTGTAGAAGTACTCCACATGCAAATCTGTAGCCCTCTGAATGCTCTGCTGCCTTAAATAAGACAGGTTTCAGAGTAGCAGCCATGTTAGTCCGTATCCGCAAAAAGAAAAGGAGTACTTGTGGCACCTTAGAGACTAACCAATTTATTTGAGCATAAGCTTTCGTGAGCTACAGCTCACTTCATCGGGTGCATGCAGTGGAAATTCATCGGATGCATTCAGTGGAAAATTTTCCACTGAATGCATCCGATGAAGTGAGCTGTAGTTCACGAAAGCTTATGCTCAAATAAATTGGTTAGTCTCTAAGGTGCCACAAGTACTCCTGTTCTTTTTGTTAAATAAGACAGTTGCAGAATCAAACAATAAATGACAGCAAAGGAAGAGGGGGAAAAATGTTTTCAGATCAGATTTGAAATAAGGTGAGGCAGGGAGGCAGGGTGCTAGAAAGCTGTTCAGACACCTTTATTTCTTATCCGTGTATTGCACCCTTTTTTCATATCTATTCAACCTCTTGATCCCACTTCCCAGTATGAAAGTGAAAAGAAACAGACCATGCAATGCACACTCCTGGATGCAGGATGTGCCCATCACAGTGGATCTGGTCCTACCACGATGTGTTCAACCCCTGCTAAGAGTCAATGAGCATCCTTCCCTCCCATCAACTTCCGCAGGAGTTGAGGGCACTCAGCACTTTTCAGTATCAGGCCCACTAGAGTGAAATTATAAACCTGGGACATTGTGTTCACCTACGTGTGTGTGGGGACACACACACACACACATACACACACTAGCCAGCAGCTTTTTTAAAAAAAAAGTAAGATTATATTGGTGTAGATTAAACACATCTATATTTGTAGGGAACAAAGTCCCGAGAGACTCTAAACCACATCAGTAATGAAAGAGTTAAAAAGCTGAGTAAAGGCTATTTTTAATTCTTGTGAGTCTCACAGATGCACTCTTGCAAATTCGACCTGTACCACAGAAATCCTACATTGCAGTGCCCTGCACCCCACCGAAACTCTTCAGCCTGCTGTAAGTAAGCCTCAGCATGGGCAAAATTGGGGGTGAACAGTTGGAGGAGGGGCTCAAGCCCTGGGCCTTTGTAGCTGAGGGGTGAAACATTGAGATCCTGCAGAGAAGGAACACAGAAACCCTCAAGGCAGAGAGAAATAGACCTAGACAAAAGCCCGTTACATGGTTGCAAATCACCCCACTGCTGTTATTTTATTTACTGCAGTCTGCAGGAGGATTGTTTTCTCTTTGCAAAATTTTTAAGCTTCACGGTCCTTTTTCTTTTTGCTCCACAGCAGCCGTCACTTACACCACAGTGCCACATACAGACAGATCTCACCTTCAGCTCCTCAAGGGAAAAATAATCCTGCCGCTCTGGATATACTGGGTACAAAACCAAACCATCACACGGCATCCTCCTGCGACTTTAAAGAGACTGGACTAGTTGCTATCTTGTTAAAAACGAAACCTTTACTGGCAGTCACTTTATGTCCTGTAAGTGCAGTTTACTTCTGTGCTCTGATGGTGAGCATGGTATAAGTGCCTAGGCATAGACAGGCCATCTCAGTTATAGCTAAAATACCTACTGCTGGTGTAAGATCATCGGCTGGTGTAAATCTGTACCACTCCATGGATTGCACCTGCTGGAAATCAGGCCCAGTGTTTTAAAAACTCTGTTTGTAAGGGCTCAGTGTTTTATTTATTTATTTGGCGGTGGGTGAGAGACAGAGGAATGTTGCTCAGCTCCAGTGTTTATACATTTCCAACAGCGTTCCTGAAAAAAACATTCCCTTGGAGCTTGCACTCTTAGTCTGGGATCTCACCCTATCTGTCAGTAGCAATTTTGGGGATCTCTTTCTTGCCAGGGTGGTTAAAATAATTACAGTACTTAGATGTTGAGTCTAATCCACAGATCCAAACTGTGTTTCCACCCCCGACCCCCCACTTTCTTGAGCTTTTACACTTTGAGAGACAGAGAGTTTGCTAGAGCTTCTTTCACAATCAGCTCTTGGATTTGCAAACTGGGGTTTGGATACTATTTGCTGGGAGTGTGAAGTTATCTGCAATCCAAATCTGGAAAGAAAGAAGCTGGTCATGTCCCTCTGTGGGAATAAATGGCTCCTCTTCTTTTGGTAAACATTTCTTTGCAATCCAGCCAGTAGCAGACTAGCCTTTGGGGCCAGAGGGGTGGAAGGGGGGGGGGTGAGAGGGAGGGGAAGAAATGTCACTTCATAACAACAAGAGGCCATGAGCTGAGCTATCTGCCTGCTTTAAACAACATAAACCAGGAAGTTGAAAGGAGAACATGTAATAAGTGTGCAGCCTGAAAAGGTGGGTTCTCTCCCTCCTGTGACAGGTTTACAGAGGTATTTACAAGGTGTTTGAGCAGGTAATTAGCACCCAAACCAAGCTGCAGGAAATAGTTCTGGTCATCTCAGATGCAGAATACATAATGAGCTGGAGGGCTTGATTTTCAATGGATGATTTACTCAGAACAATGGCCCCAAACAGAACTGAGTGCAGGACTT